AAAATATCGATTTGGTCGAAAACTGGTTTTGCGTAAAAATTCCCGTTTTTCTGTCATCTTTTTGAAAACTGTTGGAAAATGTTTACTTTTAACCTCAATAATGCACCAAGGATATTCACTTTTACATCGGAAACCACCCCCAAAGTTTGAAATTGAAGCATTATTTCGACTAGATATGCTGTAAACAGACATAAAAACAAACATAAAAAAAAACACACACATCATTGTAAAATCAATACATTCATCGTAGAATACTAATTATTCCAAAAATTATTTACATTTTAAAAAATTCACATTGGTTTATATACTAAGTAACAAGTTTTTTTTTTTATATAAATGTYATCGTATTCAAATTTGTTTGAAACTTGAAACATTCRACTATTACTTATATTATTGTTTACCATGCACGCATTGATATTTTCAAATATTTTAGGATAGTTTCAAGCTTTTTATATTTTATTTAATATAAGCATTTGAAACGTTCGATTATTTCATTTTGTTTTCCATGAATGGTAATAAAACATTTTATTTTCGCGAAAATATTATACGAGAGTCATCATAAATTGTACCTATAATACTTATACAAGTAGGTAGTTAGGTACTTATAATAATTTTAAAATACTACCAAAACTATGTTGGTAAATAACGTTTGATGATTCAAATTTGACAAAATTTATCGAAATCATGGTAATTTGCCAATTATTTAGGAAGTATCAAATTCATAAATTGTCGTCAATAGCTTACAGTCTTAAATGTATCTTTTAAATGTATTGAAATACTTCTCACAAAATCCTTTTAATGTTATTATGATCATTCCGAAGAAACTATAATGACGCAGTAACCAATATACGTTCTCTAATTATGACAACTTTAGTACGTATAATATGTATTTTACAATAATTCTCAGAATATGTACATTTCTTTACTAACGTATAATAAATGCCATAGTTTAATATTATACCGATATAGTGTTATTACTGTTATGTTATAGCTATGACTTTTTTTCCAGAATTATCATTATATATTTTATATGGACCATGCCAATGTATAATATTTTTGCAAAACGTAATACGCATATATTAAAGTATGACACTATGTAAGTACCTACCTATTGGGTGTACATATCATACAGAATATGTTATATTTTGGTGATTATTATTATTTTATATATTAAAAATCAAAAGAAAATCATTAAACCTCAAACTTTACAAATTTAGGAATATTCTTAGTTCTTAGATCAAATATTTCACTCGGAAACAAACTTCTGATGTGCAAACAAACTATTCGTACCATTATATGGTATTCAACTTTTTGGGTTCTGTCAAGACTTTAAGCCTAAATAGTTTTTAATCATTTCAGTCAATTTACTTAAGTCTTAAACTTACGCTACACAATGACCTTAATATCTTCACTATACTAACTTTTGACTGCATTTATTATTCAAACTTCCACTCACACACTCACAACCACCCCWACCCATTAATRTCCAACCTATTACTTGTCCTGTAGTCTCTACTATGCTTGACAATTCCGTTCTTCGTTTAAAGTTTAAACGAAACTTGCCTACAGATTTTCCTACTTAGCTAGCCATAGTWAAATTATTAATTAAGTAAATRAATAAATAAATAATTAATTAATAAACTTAATAAATAAGTTAATAAAGTTGATTAAAGAAAATATAAAGAATTATTATTGTCAATGGATGCCTCTTTCTATCTTGTCACCCGCCTAGTACCTATATTATATTTCAAATGTACCTATTTATTATATCATTTTGAATACAAATTGTAAATATTTTATTCTAATAAGAAATTTTTAAAAAAACTATATTATTATAGTAATCTATAATGTTCTGAATTTATATTTTCTTTGAGATCTCTTTTAATTGTTATCATACTTATGCATATCTTTTGTTGTATATAACGTAATTATATTAGTTAATGTAGGTATTTTTTTTTTCCTGAAAAGTTCTAATATTTAAATGACGTCGATATTATTATTATGTTGTTAATTCTTGCATATTCTGTGGTGGTTTAAGGAAAACGCGTGACCAAAGCACAGCTATTTTTTTATTACTTTTATTATTAATGCTATAGTACCTAATTATAATAATAAATGACAATAATTGATTAATTATTTATTATTAGCCAATTATAATAATTTACGTATATGGTAAAATACCTATTATATGTTACATACTCGTATTTAATAAGCATTATACTCATATATTGTAACATGTTTATTCATATTTTCTTGTCTCTAATAATGATAATGTATAGATGTTATTATGTTAATAAGACCGAAGCACCATATATCCATAGGCACTACGTCCTCGCTTARTCATGAAAACTTGAAACATGTAGTTATCATTTAAATTATCAATTACAATACATAATGGAAATTTTCAAACTTTTAAAAGCAATTATAAGCTATTTATAGGTCTTTGAAATTTTCAAATACTTTAGTTTTTTTCTTCTATAAATGCTAATAAAAATTGTTATATTACGCAAAAAGTTTAAAATTATTACCTACGAAATTTCTTATAAATTCTATAAATTGTAATTATGTTGAATTAAAAATTCTATAAATATATAAATTCAATTTAACGGTTTTAAGTTTAAATGTTGGCAAAACGTGTGAAATTCCCGAAAAATCGAAAATTATTTCATAGTAGATTYATATATTTATTTCATTTAATAGCTATAGCTTGACATTTTGAGACAAAGTCTTTGGTAAATTAGTTAAACAACATTCTAA